CGAAGTTTCACTTTTCCCCAGCGCCGCCCACTATACAGTATCGTAGTAAAGTAGAACAACAAAACAAACTGAGTGGTCCACTGATTAGAAAAAATTCGCTATTTCTCAGAAATCGCTCAAACTTGGTCCACGCGGTTAATTGACATGCTAATCACGAAAATGATACTCGTTACGCTTGATAAGGCTTCTCGATCCTGCTTAAAGGCAGGGTTGAGCGTGGGGTCAGGCGCGCCCGACCTGGGGGGTCGTACTGGGGTAAGACAGAGGGGGGGGGGGTCGTGATTAGGTATCGAATTCGTTCGATTGAGGAGATGCTACGATTAAGGTGAAGAAGAAAAGCGCTAGTTTAGTGGATATCGCGACCTCACCAGTACTGAAGGAATGAACGGTCTTAAACAGCATACTGATTGATTCCACAATCGAAGTTTCGGCCAAAACTCAAATCTTCATCTTCTACCTTGACATATTATAAATTCATCAAGGAAGCTTGCTGTGTGAAATGGGTATCATTTCCGAGCACGTCAAATTACCTCTATGAGCCCTACAAACCATTATTTACTGCATTATCTAGTGTTTCTCAACGACTAAAAAGCGTGATTTTCAAACATGATTAACTTGTTTTCAAAAATGAGAAAAGTCAATTTTTTTGTACTCGTAACAAAGTATTGTTACCTACTAGTCTAGGCTAAAAATCGCGCCTTGTATCGCTTGCAAATAGTGGAGTAAGAAATAATGCCAAAATTCCGACCGGCGCGTTTTTCTCCATGACTGCTTCAAATCCACGGATTACCACAAGGCCGAAACAAGTCGAATCAAGTCCAAACACTTACTGTGGAATCTTCGAGGGTTGTGCTAGCGATTCACATAAAACTTGAATAAAAAAGCTTCTTCAATGATAGAGTTAATCGGGTCAGGCGCAACCCCACAAAAGGTCAGGCCGCCTGAGCTTTTGAGGGGTTGCGCCTGACCCGATTAACTTGTTTTCAAAATCTAAAAATCGCTCCATTTCTGCTATGAGTATTGAACTCAAAGCCTCTTCTTGCAATACTGCAAATTTGGAGCCAAACAATACACCCCTGTGGGAATTATGGCTCTAAAAGTAGGGCTATCCAAAATCCAAAACTTGCCGTCAAGTTGCGTGTGCTGTGCAATCGCAGAAAGTCGACCTACAGACCTCCAAAAAACAAGAACCTCCCAAAAACGGCTGATCTCGTCGAATTATCACAGCCTGAGATCCTGGAGGTGAAGCAGAGGGGTCGTTTAGGGGCTTTCACTGGGGGGGGGGTCGTTTTGGAAAGACTTGTGCCTGACCTCTTGCTCAACCCTGCTTAAAGGCAGTGTCCAAGCAAAAAGTCGATTTTGAGATTTTGTGCTTACCCGGGCCTATTCGCCATGCTGAATCCGATAAACCACAACGGAAACCGCGAAAACGCCAAAAAAAGGCCTTAACGCAAGAGGGAAATCGCAGGTGGGCGGGGCCGTTCACACCGCGACGTCACTCTCCCAGGCTTTAGGAGCGATCTTCTCGGTTCCGATTTTATGTCATGCGTTTTGCAGTTGGGGGATGGTGATGTTAGTGCGCTTAGCGGAAGCGAGAAGATTGCTTCTGAAGCTGGGAAAGTGAAGCCACTATGTGAACAGCCCCGCCCACTTGCAAGTTCCCTCCTCCGTTAAAGCCTTTTTTCGCCGTTTTCGCGCTCTCCAGCGGTGATTTTCGGATTCAGCATAGCGAATAGGCCCAGGTAAGCATATAATCTCGAAATCGACTTTTTGCTTGAACACTGCTTTAAAGGTAGAGTCCAGGCAGATTCTCGACTTCCATATTTTTATGTTATCCCGGCCTTTCCATGGCGCTGATTCCGAATATAGAACTCAAAAAGCGTGAATTTCTTAGAAAACCACCTTTTGGGGCTATTTTGGAAAACCCGGACGAGTGCTTCTGATGTTATCCTTGTCGAAAGCAAGTATTAAAAGGTAAACGCTGTAAGTTCGATTGTGTTGGTCATGTGAAAACACGTCAAGGCTGAGGAGATTTCGTTCATAAGGGGTTGGCGGTCCGAGGGAAGTGGGCGTGGTCGTCGAGCTCGGATCTGCCTGGACGCTGCATTTAAAGGCAGCGTCCGGGCACATATGAAAATTTAGCATGTAGGGGCTCCTGTGCTGAAAAAGCTCTTGACCAAGTGGCATCACCAGGGTCAAGCGAGGGGTGTGGCACACGATCGCTGGTTACGACCCCCCCCCCCCCCCTTAATTGCTGCCTTGATAAGACCCCCCCCCCCCTGAATTATATACCTAAGATGCATTACCCGAAGGCCCTGTCCAACATAATGGGCAACATATCCATAATGGGCATGTCAGTTAACCCCTGTAGATAAAGTTCGAGCGAATTCTGAAGATTCAAGACACTAGGCTACCTAAGTGAAATGGTCATTTTCCAACATGATTAACTTTCTTTCAAAGGTGAATTAGCTATCCGTTTTTGCACTCAAGATAAAGCACTACTCCTTCTTTATCCATCTCAGAAATCCCGCTTCAAAAGATCTCCAAAGTGCGAAATTAGAAGCCAACCAAAATCTCATTTCTCCCATTTTTCGCTTTTAATGGCTGTGCTTTCACCAAATATTACTCAGAGCTAAGAAGACCAATCAGGCTTAAAACATTCCTATGGAATCCACGAGGTTTAGGCTATCGATTCATATAAATACTTTTCGCTAGTGGCAGCCACAGCTTTTCAGGGGTGGTGCCACATTCCATTAACTATATCGAAAAAACATTTCTAGCGAACAGTAATTATATGAATCGATAGCCTAAACCTCGTAGATTCCATAGGAATGTTTTAAGCCTGATTCGTCTTCTTAGCTCTGAGTAATATTTGGTGAAAGCACAGCCATTAAAACCGAAAAATGGGAAAAATGAAATTTTGGTTGGCTTCTAACTCCACAGTTTGGAGGTCTTTTGAAGCGGGATTTCTGAGATGGACAAAAAAGGAGTAGTGTTTTGTCTTGAGTGTAAAAACGGATAGCTAATTCACCTTTGAAACAAAGACAATGCTGGAATATGACCATTTCACTTAGGTAGCCTAATATCTTGAATCTTCAGAATTCGCTCAAACTTTGTTTACAGGGGTTAATTGGCATGCTAGTTATAAATATATACGAATATCATTTTATCACTATTATCAGATTACCCAACTACAATCCCCTCCCCTTTTGACTCCTCAATACGACCCCTCAGGTGTGTCATGCCACACCCCACGCTTTACGCTGGTCATCACCACTTCGCTACGAAGCGAGAAAACCGCTTCAGAATGGCGACCGGGACGCCCCGGCGACCTGCCCGCCCCTTCAATCGATAGCCAGAGTCCGTATGTCGCGCACAGTCAAAACATAGGGTCCCACCAAGACTCTGCGTCTTGACCTCAGCGGCAAGCTTTCATATTCAAAATCAACAGCTTCTAAAACAGCCCGTTTTCGACAATTTCGTACTCTGCAAGCTGCATTTTCGGAATCAGCGGGAAGAATAAGACCAGGTAAGCGAAAAAAGTATTATTCGAAACTTTGCCCGGACACTGCACACACACACGATGATAGGCGAATAACTCAGTGTGTTTGTATTTGCACAATGTGTTTGGCGGATTGTTAAGGAATCTTGTTATCCAAAACCAGGGTTGAGCAAGAGGTCAGGCGCAAGTCCTTCAGAAACGACACCCCCTCCCCTGTGAAAGCCCCCAAAATGATCCCTCCGCTTCACCTCAAGGACCTTAGACTGTGATATTTTGAAGCAGACAAGACTTTACTGAAGAGTTCTTGTTTTCTGGCCGTAGGCCCAACTTTCTGCGATTGCACAACCACACGCAACTTGACGGCAAGTCTTGAACTTGAATAGCTCTCTTTTCAGAGTTATATTTTTTGCAGGGGTGGAGTGTTTGGCTCCAAATTTTTAATATAGCAAGAAGAGGCTTTGCGCTCAATACTCATACTAAAAAAGGAGCGATTGAATATTATGAAGCTATTGAAGGCAAGTTAAGGGGGTCAGGCGAAACCCTCTCAAAAGCTCAGGCGGCCTGACCTTTTGAGGGGTTGCGCCTGATCCCATTAACTTTATTTTCGAGGAAGCTTTCCTATCCAAGTTTTATGTGATTCGCTAGCACAACTCTCAAAGATTCCACAACATGTGTTTGAGCTTGTTTCGACTTGTTTCGGCCTTGTAGTAATCCGTAGAGTTGAAGCACTTAATGTGAAGAACGCGCCGGTTGGAAATTTGGCAGCACTTCTTACCTCACTATTTGAAAGCTATATGAAGCCTGATTTCTGGCATAGACTTATAAAGAACGTTACTTTGTTATGAGAATAAAAAAGCTGACTATTTTCGCTTTTGAAGCCAAGTTATCATGTTTGAAAATCATGCTTTCTAGACGTTGCGAAACACTAGAAAATGCGATAGGTAATGACTTTAGAGCTCAAAGAGGTGATCTGACATGCTGATTACGGAAATAATACCCAATTCACACAGCAGGCTTACTTGGCGACCTCATGATATGGAGGTAAAAGATGAAGACTTGACTTTGGCTGAAATTTCGATTGTGGAAGCAATCAATATGCTGTTTACGACCGTCATTCCTTCACTACCGGTGATTGCGATATCCACCGGAACAGCGCATTTTTTCTTCACCTTCGTAGTATCTCCCCAACTGAACTGATTCGGTTCTTGAATACGACCCCCCCCCCCCCGGCCATACCCCCAAGGCGACCTCCCAGGTCGGGCGCGCCTGACCTCGCGCTCAACCCTGTCCATAACCTCGATTACGACCCCTTCCCAATCTCATTCCTCAAAACGACCCCCTCCCCTACCCGGTGTAGCGACCATATCCCACGTTTGACCCTGGATGGGTGACCAAACACTACCAACGCGATTTGTTCGTTGCTGACGTCATACTTTAGAATTTACCACGGCACTTTTTGGAATACCACTGCCTACCAATCCAAACAGCTCTCAACATAAAGAATAAAACCTTCATGTACAAATATGAACAAAGTGGCAAACGTACATGTTGAAACATACATTCGCTGCAAAAAAAGCGATTAGAACGCTTATACACCAAATTTCTAGTTAGCAAGATCCGATAAAGACTAATCAGAGGGGTCCGTGTAGCAATGAGCGATTCAGAGAATTGAATCTGAAATGATCGAGGCCATGAACAGCACGTGCTGCAAGACGTTCCGCTGCACTGATGGTATGGCAGCTGGGGTTCGTCAGTACAGGTGGTAGAAAGGAGCAGTGAGAAGAAAACAGGCCCAACTAAGCAGTCGTAAGACCACGGTATCACAGGTACTCGAAGTCCGAGACACAGATCACATTATGCACACAACTAGTGATCAGCTGTTTTTAAAACTGATATTATAATTAATAAATGGACTTAAGAGTAAAAGAAGATTATTACTCTGTTGTGAACATTACTACTAGAGTGTATAATGTAGATCCTAGAAATAAATGCAGGATCGTAGTTGTGGGAGAATAAACTTCTCCGAGTTGGTTACGAAACATCGTAAACATTGGTGAACATGCAGATATGCGTGAAAGGTAATCTTGAAAGAGCACATCGAAAGGAAAAAAGAAAACAAAAAATGGAAAAAGGTGCAGCACCGGAACGGGCGAAAAGAAGAGAGAGATGGTTCAAGCGTACGACTTCCATGGCGGGAAGAAGCCTCGATGTTGAGAAAGCGAGAGGATGACAGGAGGAGTCGAGAAGCCACGATCAGGGAAAATTTAACGGAAGAATTCATCGCCAAATGGGTCCGCATGGTTAGCCATAACTGCCGGGGCTGGACGCATCGGTACTGATCCAAGAGCATTCAAAGATGCCTGGAAGAAGGTTGTTTTGAAAATGTGCAAAAACTACCCACTTTCAGAGAACAAAATTGATTTAACCCAGCTTTCCCTGATCAACAGAGCCTCGATATTTTCTCTGCTTACAACTTCTTCTATCAAACCCCCCAAACTTATCAAACCCTCGCACAACAAACCTTCGGTGGATTCAAAATGTGATCAAACGGGTTTTTCTTCGTGTCGTTAGCCGGCCGTGCGACGAGAGCGTTCATATCAACAAGTTTTGTGAAAGCCTCTTCAAGCGATGTAACTTTACGTGGCTCCTCCCATTTCTGTTGCGAGCTGTAAGAAAAGACATAAAAGCTGAAGTTTCACATCAATGTATGTCTCCTTGACGCTCAAAGGATCGACTTACTTGTTATCTCCAAAGCAAGTGGCATTCGTAAACGAGTTTGCATGTTGCATTTGCGGCGCTGCGTTTTCTTTCGTTCCCCAATCGACCGTACGTGCTACCGGCATTACTTGTGGCACTTGCAAAACGTTGCGTGTATCAAACGGATCTCGAACATGCTGCACTTGAGGGGCAGCGACAGCAGAGACGAACGGATTGGTTTGCTGGAAAGCAGTCACTTAGAACATTCCAAGACCAAACAAAAAGTCAACGCACTGAGAAACCAGCTGGAATGAAGGCTGGTGTGCTGTGCGTGTGCGCCATTTGAGGAGCGGTTCCCCAAGCGTCAACAAAAGGCGGATTCGCTGGTGGTACAGGCATCTAAATCATGACAACTGATTTTAAAAAGTATGGGAATATCAAGGTAAGATCAAACGATGGAACGAACGAACGACCTGAAGTGGAATTTGAGGTGCTTGTGCTGCCACAGCTGGCTGTTGTGGCCAAACCCCATTTTGAACTTGCGGTGCGAACTGCGGCTGGAACGGTGGCTGAACTTGCTGCGCTGAACCATTCATCGATGGAGGCTGAAAAGATTAAAAATGGGATGATACCACTAACATCTTACTATGATCCTTAGAAACGTTTAAACAATAAAATACGAAGTGAGCATCTCGCAGGCGCACGTATGGACAAAAATAGGGTTTTGGGATCAGTTCTCGCTACTTTCACATTTGAGCCAACAGAAGAAGCTTCTATCAGAACAACTAAAATGTGTGTTTTCCTCTACATAAATAGTCCACCTATTCAGTACCCACTCCCCTCTATGAAAATTGAACCTAAATTTGTGATCAACAAGGGATAGGCTCCTATTTTCCCGTACTTTCTTTGTATGAAATTTTTCACAATTCCATATTTGGATTGACTTACACTAGCAACGAAGCTATCTTGGAATGGATCAGCGAATGGTGTTGCACCAAATGCATCTGTTCCAGTGGGAATCTGTTCCAACTGTTGGAGACCTTGCTCTATTTGCTGTACTTCCGTTTCCAAATCTAACAAATCGGCCACAGCAACTCCATCCGTTGGTGTGCTTTCCTAAAATACATCGATAGTATTTCATCTGCAACAAACTCCCTCATTTCACGATCTACTGCGCTAACAAAATTTGCTGAACGGAGTCGCTTTGACTCATCCGATTAGCAACGAGAATGACGTCATCAGCACGTTACTCGTCACCGAACCGATTTACATAATCCCACAAAAACGGTGATGTTTCGAGAGCAGTACAAACACTGTGTCTCTGACTCAATTTCTGATAGAGATCAAGGAAAGACTAGACGATAAAAGTAAATATGAGACCAGCAACCAGTCACTAGTTCCTTTTATGCGTGCAGAACTTTGGGTCCCTAAGGATAAACTGTTGAAGAATTTTCGTTAATGACACACCATTGCCCAGATGATTGAATAAAACTACCACAGAATCAAAATCTAGCGACTGACTACTAAGTGCCCAGATCGACCATCACCTAGTATTGTCCTACCCTTCAAGAACACTTCCTTACCAGAAAAGTGTACAGAGTTCTCTGTCAAGCAAATTTTAACCCTTAGTAGATAATTCATGTCAAACTGAGCGTTCTGCGCTCAATAATCCTTCGAATGCGATTTTCTGAGTTATAGCAAGCCCCTCCACTAAAGCGCGGGTTGATACAATCACGAGCTACCCTGACAAAAAGGCTTGATTTACGAGAACACCGGCTTGTTCGTAGCACTAGTGCAAAATTGAAAAACATGGTAAGTGACTTTTGATGTGATAGAAGTACAATCTAGAGGCAAAACCAATACATCTCATGCTTATTGCTCACTTTTTATTCATGATTCATCTCTCAAGAATATGAGTAAGAGACTAGACCAAGCTCGTATGCTATAAATGGTAAAGAAGATTATAATGTAGTGAAACATAACTTCTTGATATAAAAAGGTAATAAAGTAAAATGTGACTAACATTTTTCGTTTTCCTCTCCTCTTGCTGTTGTTTCACTTGTTCAATGTGCTTCTTCTTCATCTCGAACACAACCTGCAACAAAGAAGAAACTAGTTCTCTAAGCAGACATTGCATTCAAAGAAACTGTGTACCTGGAACATGTCTCGGATGGCAAGAACCGCTTGATCAGCAGTTTGTGCAGTCTTGATACCATAAAACTTATACTTATCTGAATAAACAAAACTAAGTTCAAGACTTTCCTCGCATAGCAAACGCTTACTGTCTGGTTGTCCAAATACAATTCCGAAAGCTCTAGCATCTGTAGTATCACGAGCTATGAAGGATACCCTCGAAACCGGAAAATTGTGCAGAACAGCCTAGAAAGAAATATTCTAACGAAATATAAACTGGATTCAAGTAGTCAAATCTTGCATAGCTAAAAATCGCGCCATTATGCTATACACACAATAAACTGAGCGTTTGCGTACAAAAGAGCAATCAAGCCATTTCATGTGCAATTCTGTCGTCCGTTTCGTTGCAAAACATGAACGGGCAGCTGTTCAAATACACATTCACTACAACCGCACATTGCTGCACTCCTGCAAATTCCCCCCCCCCCCCATTACGCATAAATGAATACAAAAATATCCAATGGTTTTGTGTAAACAATCTGTAGCACTTAACTTCATGTTTGTTCATACTTGCTAAGTATAGATTAAAAGCGACAAATCAAGTGAGTTGCAACTTTTGAGGAATTTTGAATAGCCGTGATTGTAAGAATGAAAGGTAAGAGAAGATAACGGATCGATATTATAATATTTCACCAGCGATGTGAACATGTGGGAATATATCAATATATTCGAAGTAATGAAGCAAAAAGCGCATTTATATCATTTTCAGTTATTAATTCACTTTAAAAATGCAAGCTTCATTCTCCATTCAAATTCCCCAATCTGTACTTCAAGCAGGTCAAGTCAAAACAAAGGGCATTTGCGATGTCGACATAGAAAATCGCAAGACTAGATTCTGCTGGAGAGAAAAAAAATCCGTTAATCAAACATATTTAGAGTTCAACTAAGCATCATACATCTCGTTCAGTTTACATTAAAACAAAACATTAAATTATTAGTAATGTATCAAGCACAGAAGGTGGTGATCTTTTCATCAAACATGCTAAAGTTATGAGAAAATCGGCAATTTTGGCACCAGATTTTCGCTTTGAGCGCTAATGCAAGGACACGAACAGCTGTGGTGAGAATAAATGTCGAAAGAGAAGCGTAAATTGCCAGACAGGAACACTTTTGGAGGACAAGACAAACAGAACGCTTTTCATGTTACATACGAAGATATTCATAAGTATTCAGAAACGAAGATTTTGGCAGAATATTCGTGGGCTTTTTCTTTGAGGTACTCTCACTTTACACTACATTCCAAGGGTCGATTATAAAAGTGCAACAGAAACGCTTAATTGCATTTCTCCCTCTATAGATTTGATCTGACAGATGAAGACTTGAACTAGATAAGATCTCACGCGCCATGTTGAAATCAAGCTTAGGAAACATAGTAATACGGGGAAGGAAGCTGGACAGGAAGTAGTTTGGAAACTAAATAGAAAGCTCGGTAGTCGAACCAAAAGCGAGTAATTTAGAACAGCAAACAACAGGACTCGCTAATTTATGTTACCCTCCCGATAGGTAATTGTAAAAACATACACATTTTTTACTGATAAAGAATATCGAATAAACAAAATTTACTGCAATTAAGAAACATAAAATACTTACATTGCTCTTCTCGTCGACTATCTTGATTCCATCAATGTTTATCTGAAGTATGATCCGAGTCTTGTGTGCCCCTGCAGCTTTTACAGCAGCTTTAGCTGCTCGCATAGCTTCAGCACACATTGCGTCTCCTCGAGCGCTATCCACATCTCGTTCACCAATTAATTTACCCTGAGAAACAAAAAAGGATCAAATACTGATAACAACATCAGAAATGACGCAAACCTTGTATGTGACGCCATTTCCTTGAAACCGGAAAGGGTCCGATGTTTGAGTTGCTGCAAATAGCCTCATTTGATGAAACCACGAATAACTGACGTTGCCCAAATCCATAACACTATTACTTTGTTATTTTATTTCGCATTGTTAGATATAATCCGATAAAATGTATGAGTTTATTCAGTGTAAAAGTTACGTGTCAAATTTCAGCACGTAAACATTCGCTTATAAACATATGACATGGTCATGCGCGCATAAAGAGTGATCAGTTGATTGGGAAATATGTCCGAACCTATAATATCTATCATTTGTGTAACAGCACAGACTTTGCCTAAATTAAAATCAAAGAAGTAATTTGTTAACAGGATGAAATGTTTTTCACAGAATTTTGTCCCTGTATTATTAACCATTATTCTCAGTTTTTCTAGTAATCTTTAAGTGTAACAAAAGGGGTGGTCGAGACGGTACGTACACACCAAAGATCAACGATACTTTTGAGATTACAAGGACATCTCTCGATAACTTGAACTTCTTCGTCCTAATGCGCAACGAAGTCCGCAAATATTTGCCTTAGAAACATGTGATTGCTTCAAAAATAATAGATACTGTAAGTAGACGGCTCAACTATGATGTGACCATATGCAAATGAATGGCGCTTTAAGTGAGTAACTAGAAAAAACTGGGTCAAGTCTACACAAAAGGACCGTACTTCCAAATTTTCACACTTTGAACATAACATCATCAAGCTCTACCTTCCGCATATTTCAATCAAAGAAAGAAGAAGAAAGTGCAAAGAAGTAAAATAGTACTAAATCCACCCAAACTGATCACTCACGTTTCTTCGTTCGTTTCAGCACAGCCAAGCGACTTTTTGGTGACGGAGGATTTTTCGGTAAATCGTCAACAGATGGCTCATTCTCGAGTTTCTGCACCATTCTGAAAAAGATTTAACAATCAATTATGAACGTGTAATGCATTGATGTGGGCCATTGGTGACGTTTAGATATTTTACCACCGCGAAAGTGTGACGAAATGATGATAATAAACGCGTTACTGTAATCATAAACGAAAAGGGCGATGATGGCGAAAGTCCGAGCAATGTCACGAGCGCTACTGATAACAGATAAGGTCGCGACCGTCGTCGAAAACATAAGCGCTAAGCATTGGCCGCGATACTAGCAGAGAAAAGCCAACTATAGTTACAGAACGCTGCTCATAAGCTAAAATGACAAGCTGGTGCGGCCTGAGCTCCGCCATTCTCAAGGAGCGGTCAGATGGCAACTGGAGCGCAAAATCTTCACGACGCAACTAAACAGTTTGAGACTTCGGCACAAAATGAAATTCCAATGAAGCGCCGAATTTCCCGGTTCAAACCGGTTCTATCGTTCTGTAGTCCTTTCAAGTTATTTACTTTACTTTCATCATAAAGAAGGAACTGAACAGAATCTTGGAACTTGGCGTCTATGTTGGTGATTCCATCCGTTTTGAGTTCAGACGCTCATTAGTTCATCTTCGGTGCGATTCTCCGCGGAGAATTCAAAAAAGTTGCGGAGATTCATGCAGCGAACGAACACTAACAAAATGTCGAGTATACTCAAAATGAAGATCTCTCAGTGAAAGAGCGCGGCAAACTTGCCTTCAAAAGCTTGAATCCAAAAACTAGAATTGTCACAGAATATTCTGGGCCGTATTGAACTCAAACGACCCCCGCTATTTGCTTAGTGGCGATAGCAAAGCAAGAAAAGGTGAGATAACATTTCATTTACTAATGCCATACGTCTTCAACACGAACGATTTTGCTCCTTGGAATGAAGAAGGGGGAAGGCTCGATGGGCATTTATAAAAAATCTTTTTGAATTTCATTTTTAAATCACAAAACTGGAACCCAGAAGTTGCTTTCGTGCTAATTCAGCACGTTTGAGAATAAACGGCGCCGACACCACCGGAGCTCGTGCAGTGGTCCTATGCCTATGAGTCGTGGCGCATGAGCAACTAGCAACGGACTATTTGTCATGCGGCGGTAGGGTTCTGCAATCATGCTAGTGTTTATAGTCCGTGTCCTGAGATTATTCCCATATACACCGCCATAACGCACCCAATCTGCGCTTTTGACGCTTTGGTACAGAAGCACCGAATTTGCGCTGTGAAAAACGACCCAAAGGCAGCGCAAAGACGCGACATGCATGCAAAGTGGTAGCCAAAGCTGGGACAAAGGCTAATACTTGCTTAGGTGAACCGCAGACATTATGGTGACTAAAAGTAGAGACGTCGCAAGGTCATGTATGCAAGTGCTACGACTCATAGGCATTGTGCCGCCTTAGCTATAATTTGCCTTCACCTTTTTAGATGCTAAAAAAAATTCGGCCTGACCTATTCCTACGTCTCTAGAAAATCTTATGCTGAAGAAACAAACGAGATTAAGCATTGCAAGCTAGGAGACAGGTATACAGAAGCAAATGAACTCGTTCCGCAAACGTACGACTGTGGCAGTTTGGTGACTATCTCCGCCGTAATCGCGCATTTATATCAGAAACAAGATCACGACAATGACATGGGTGCCTACCACGATACTTGAAGTGCGGTTCGTTGTTATTACTTCACCTTTTTCTTCTTGGGAGAGGGGGCAGGGAGAAGGGGGAGGAGGCAGCCGCGATCATTACTCGGATTCCACTTCGGGAAATTATTGCCCTTTGACTCCATTTTTTCCGGTGAGCATCACTCTCCAATGTTTCCTGCAGAATCAAAGTGACAACCTTGATACAGCGGTACAGTGACCAAAAGTTACTATCGAATGGTAGTCTGCGTCAAAAGAGTTCTCTTGGGGCGCACTACGCAGCCGCGTCGCGAAGGCATTGCATTGCATCTGTGGCGAGATATAGTAAACGATACAAAGGCTTCATATGACTCAGTTCTCTATATTCGTCTTCATCCAAAGTAATGGACGATTTTGAATGTGATCTGGAGAAGGCCAGTCACGATAGAGCTCCCTCAGCCTGATGCCGTGCCCTACCGCAAATGCCTGCTCCATTTCGAATTAAAAATAGTTCACCAGGTGTTTTCTTCGGGATAAAGACAATTATAACAGTGGTAGAAAATTATGTGAGGAGAAAAGCCTAAAAAATGGAATTTGTTGGAGAAGGTCCAGAACCTAAATGGCAACCTTTGAGGCGTGGCGAAACGTTCGAGGGACTGTAGATCCGCCCTTAGCTGGGGATCCCTCGATTGGAGCACGGATCTTGTTTGGAGCGCCATCTCTTACCGCTCGTTTTTAACAGCATCTTGACAAGCAGGATTCGTTTTCAGCTCTTTGTAACTTTCATTTGCGGTCCCTCACTAGTGTGAGTGATGTTTTGTATCCTAAGCACTTCACTGGGTACGCTCCAGAATGCTGTAGGCTATGAACAGTGGAGACACAGTTTACCTAGTTTAAACAAAAATTGAATATCACGAATTTTGCTGAAAGTTCTCTTTCGGGGCTTATTTGAACTGCAGATTAGGAAACGATATTCATTTCGCATGTTATGGCCTTTGCCGTATAGGTCAGGGTCTCAGATCTCGCTGGAACTTTGCACGGGGGTTATTCGGCCTACTATCACGAATGCCATGTGCATTCTTTGAGACAAATCGCTGTTTGCCCAAAGAGTTATGCAGATTACGGATAAAAAATTCGTTTGCCATGGTAGCGCCTTAAGTTATAGTGGGGATACGACTTGGGGACGTATCGTCTGCGCCCCAGAGAGGTTCCCATAGGTACCACGTCATCTCGCTGCCTTTCGCACTTTTGAACGTGTTAACCTCGGGCACTTCTGTTGAAATCTCAGGAGAAACTGTCAAAAAGAGCGAAAGGCAGCGTCGCACCACGTACGCACGCTGGTTCACATGGGAACCTCTTCGGGGTGCAGACGGTAGTCGCAGATTTGTGGAAATTCGCCTAGAGCGACTAGTCGCGACCTTGGGATTTGAAGAAAGAGTTACCTTTTTGCTCTTGAAGACCCTTTAGCAAAGTTACAGTAGATATGCGGCAACCGGTCGAATCGTATGGAACTTTGTGAAGGGGGGGGGGGAGGGGGTGTCTGACCTTCTGATCACGTATATTGCGCTCGTCTCGCATAACACGGCTTTGTGGATTTTTGAGATCTAAATTGGTCTAACAAGGGAAGGATACTTGGTCGAAATGGCGTCTTTATAAAATGTACACCTTATAAAGCATGCAATGCTAATTCCAAATCTGCTTTCCTTATCTGAAAAGCGCCTCTGGGAGGAGAGTTATGAAAATTTTCCATAAAAAATCCGAAAGCGAGGCTACAAGCATTCAGAACCTTGATCCGTGAGCTTTGCGGCCATGATTACTACCAGGGGCTTTTATGCAATAAATACTTCCAGTCTAACAAATCCATGTCAGTCATTACTCCTTTTAAGTGCCGATACTAACTCAACGCTTGTTTTTACGTTAGACAAATCATTTAATTTTTACCTCAAAAAATTTCCAAAACTCCCCTCCCAAAAGCGCTTTGCAGGTAAGGAAAGCAGATTCATAATCAGCGTTTTATGCTCTAAAGATAGTGTTCTTACCTTGTAAGAACCAAAAAGGGGTCTACTTATGTATACGCTCTATCATAACAAAATTGCAGCAAAGTACGTAACTGCCCCTCACCGCACCTCCACACCGTAACTTCACCAGGCTTGCTGTGCGAAAAGTGCGCGATTTTTGCGATCAGTGTGTCGAATGCCGTGTGGACGAAGTTTCAGCAATATCTAGGATTTCGAACTTATGCGTATACACGCTGGCTGTTATAAGGTGTTAGCGTGACGGATGAATATGTTATTTGTGAGAAGCATCTAGATAACCTCTTCCCCCCCCACACACAAGGTTTAGTAGTAAAAAATCTATCATGCGAAATGAACGCGATTTATGTGATTAGCGCGTCAGATACCCCCTCATGCCCAGAGTTCCAGGCAGATCTTCGCTTTCTGCCCGTACACCCAATGAAACTCCGCGAGAAGGTATCAAATTTTAGAAATGTAGGGTATCCGTAATCACGTATTGGAGAAATTCCTTGACAAAGTTTTGAGCAAATTTGTAACGTTTTTCGTATTGGATTGCTGGAAGTGGACTGATCAAATCGCATGTGTACTAGGGAAAGCTCGTATCACAAAATGTTGGATATTCCTTCCAGCAGACATTCGCAGTGCTGTACCGCTGATTTTCCCATCGCTAGCTCGGGCACAAGCGTATTCAAGGCATACTAATGCTAGGTAACGAACATGCTGCAAATTTCAACGATCTTCACGGCTTTCTGCCGAACAAGGCCGTTTGATGACGCCATTCTGAAGAGTAGTTAGCTCAGCGTTCAGAACGGCTTCGCTTCCAAGGTGGATCAATCGAAGGGTAAAGTTATCGCATTTGCCAATACTCGTTTAGTCAAAAAAGATGTTTTTAGAGTTTGCATCCAGAAGCGTTCTTTGTTACCATATCCTGAGTATGTGCTAGGAAGTGCAAATGAAGTTTTAGAGAGCTTAAACAAAATGTGCTTGCCAAAATCCCTGGAAAAGACGAGAAGCAGCTATGGCGCTCCAAACAAGATCCGTGCTCCAGTCGAGGGATCCCCAGCTAAGGGCGGATCTACAGTCCCTCGAAACGTTCAACCATAAGCCGGTGATCGTGCCGCGTCTCGCAACGCGGATGCTCAAATTCGCACTGCAGAGAGAGAAAACGCCATTGCGATAGCCCATAGGCTATCTATAGCTAAGTTCCCAGCGCGAAATTGGCGTGCGGCTGCCCTTCAGCAGAGTGAACTTACTCATTTTTAGCGCTAAAGCGGCCTGTCTGGATCGATAGCCGCTCAAAAGCGCTCCAGCGCTGACAAATGTGCGCTGCCGTGCCTTAGCCGCAATGCAAGACTTTCAGCCTACGGGACTATGGTTTTCGTTCGACAATTGCTTGAGCGTAATCACCAAACAACGGAGTTAAAATTACTATGTGAGGTAAAAGGAGGAATTGCAGCGCACTGACGTTGAGTTGGATGCTGCGTTGCTGTTTTCGTTGTTCAATGAACACAAGCAGCTGTCATTTGCAGTGCTGACAATGTTACAACGCCAATACAGCTAGAACTTGATTCGCGTCAACTTCTAACATCAACTATCAAACAAACACTTGACAACCCACCGGTGTATGAATTTCTTGAGTGACATGTGCAAAAAATAGCCGCAAATGTCGGTAAGTGACGGGTGATGGAGTTAAGCAACGACGAAAATAGCAGAATTTGGTGATACGACGAGCAGAACGAACACCGCGGGTAAGACACAGAGGCCGTTAGTGAGTCGATCCAGAACGAACAAACTTGTCTCGCCTGGTTGATTATCGACAAAAGTGGAATGGTCAGTGGGTTCCAAGGGGGCGCCGTGGATAGATCACATAAGAACTCGTTGTTACTTCGTCTCAAAGTGCTGTGAAATTGATTGTTAGTGTAAAAATTCTGTACTTGTCATTGAACTAGTCGCGCACGTCATCAATGTTAGAAAATTATCTAGCAAATCTAATTTTTTTCAGTGCAGGGCTGCATCGTCGCGAATCCTTCAAAGTCAAAAATGGACTGGAAGACTATATCATTCATCCTTTGACCAAGAGACGCGAGCACGCTTTGTGTACGTTTGATCAACAAGTTCATAAATGAGTTCTAACGCGTTTTGGTTAAATACTATTAGGAATTCGTGAAAGAACGTGTTTAAGCCAGCGTGGCTCCACGAGCTCAAACATGTTTTTCCACGAATCCTAGTAGTAAATCAACCTAAACGCGTTGAAACTCATGCAAAATCTTGTTAACGAAATGTGCTCGCGTGCTCGCGTCTCCTAGTCAGAGAATGAAACGATTTGTCGCCGAAAGTGGAAAGGTCCCGCGCGGACAATGCAGCAGATACTCAGCCTTTGCATGTACTGGAATATGTTTGTTGCAGACGTCCGGCGGGACCCCCCCCCCCCCACTTTCGGCGACAAATAGTCCCCTACTCGTTGAAAATGAGTAGAGGATTACAGGTCACCGAAAGGCGGTTCCCACTCGGACATCTGCAACGAGTACCCCCATACATATAGGCTGCTGCATGACGAATGCGCTTTTTTTAGGCGCGAACGCGGCTTTATTAACCGCAGAGCGCATGAGGCGCAGAATTTACAGTGCGAGGATACGCGCTCGCGTTTACGCCCGCTCAAGTAATACTGCCTCTGCGCCTTCGTCATGCAGTAACCTTTCCCGTAAATACCATCGACGTGGCTGCCTTTCGATCGTCTTAACAAAATAACTTCAGCAAAATTAAGGCGCTTATATTCGAAGCTGATATGTTGAAACAATCGGCAGCCGCTTTGGTAATATTACCTACGAGAACTTCTTGAGGACAGCGATATGTATAATTGTCATACATATTTCCTTTCGCTTGGTGAACTATGCATACGCAACGCAAAGTCTCTGCGTGCGGACCTCCAGTCGATGAGGCAAATTTGAATGCCCGAGTATAAACGCAAACGTGCCGCGAAGCTCATTCCAATCACGGAAAGGGAGCATGTGATTGACACGGACTGTACATGCAAGTGCTGCGTACTTATTGCAGATAGCGCGAGAACTCCCCCCCCCCCCTCTCTCCGGGTTCGGCGACATATAGTCACCCCTCAAAGGAGGTGGGCAGGGGGAGGGGTAAAACCTGGCCTGCACTGATAGCCCCTCTCCGTAACTGACAGAAAGTTAGGCAAAAGGCAATGCTTGATCTAGAAGCGAGAAATTCTTCCAGGAGTAGTACCAACAAACACATGCGTTAAAAGTAACAGTCCTACCAACTCGACAAATTAAGAGGAGCAGTGCACGCAGAAATCGTGTCAAGAGCGCTCCATTTTTCAATTCCAGGGACCCGTCACAGGTCTCGTAAAAAGTGGGGAAAACCTTCAACCGGTTATCGCTCTTTGACGCCATTTTGGTCCGGAGCAAAATGAAAGCAAAAGGAAGGCAGAAATCCGGAAATCATACATTTGCCGAAATTCTCCTTTATTGCACTCGCAATCACAACAAATAGGCTTTGAATTTGCCTTTTATAGCACTTTAGGCTATATGGCACGCCAGGAAAAGCAAGAAATGCTAGAAACGGATGAATTTTTCATGAATACGGCTTTGCTTTATTTTCATGAATCTAGGATCACAATAAATAAGTAAAGAAATTATACTATCAGCAAATCTATAGAAAAGCAACTTCTCAGGTTGTTTAGGCATACCGACAGATAAAAGCGCGCCCCATGATCATTAGTCTATTTCACAGCGACTGAGAGGCTTGGAAGTCGCACGCGCTCGAATAAGGTCCGTAAATGGCTTGTCTCCAATGCTAAAACTGATGGAAATCCAATATTTTTACTATGTAGAAATGGAACATGATGAAATTCGAAGCATCGAGCAAAAAAGACTCTAATTTTGTTCGTCAAAGTGCACTGCACTTAAACATTTTTACACTTCATATTCATTCGATTATGACCTGGATGGAGGAATCGTGATTCGAAAAGATCAAAATTTTTATGAAACGAAGAAGTTTAAAATGGCAGAATCTTCGAGAATAAGTATTAAGTTTACAAATTCTCTTGATTTTAACTACATTCTAGCCGCGTAGATTTATGTTTGGGAGCAGAAAACCGAAAAGAGGGGCGAAGGGTCTCGTTTTTTTAGCTGTCGCACCGGCCCATTTTACGACCCTAACGAGCCACTTCCAGTTTGAAAAACTGCTGAAGCAAACTAATGACGCTTTCGGTGTCTTTGAGCGAGAAAATGGCGAATAGAACATAGGAAGAAACGATCAATAATCGATTGCTGACCGACGTGGATTCAAAATGAGTAATATAAATACAGTAATACCGAACACTAACTCTTTGTTTTTACCACTGATTGTATCTAACAGTGTTTTGCGCCCTCTTTCAATAATCTTATTTTTAAATATCTTACTGTCAACTTCAGTTCCGTAAGAGTCCTCCAAACCTAGTTGCGACACTTGTTCGCGTTACTTGTACATTGTACCTAAGTAAAAAGTTTTTCCACGTAACTTCCTCATTCATACGTTTGGCCTTCTATCGTTGAATTGGGACATATTAGTGCGCATCTTACAAACTTCCTTCGCAATTTTTCAAAATTTTTCACGCACAACCGCGCCGCGACCGCGCACTGTGTGCAGTGTGCAAAATCTTTTTTGAGTTCAACTTTTGTTTTCTGCTGTTATGCCACAAACTTACGTTAAACAGAACAAGGAAAGGAACTGCAAAAGTCAAAGTTCAAACAAGCTGATAACGAAGGGAGCTATAGCGGTGCGATTAAAGTGAAGCGTATGACAAAAAGTGAGTGTAACTGTAGATGCTATCCAACAGGGCTCCAGTTCAAAGTAAAAAATTGGTAATTCTTATTTCGATCGACAGCGTCATCACTTGACTGATTATACTCCAGTAGTTATGGCCGACAATGTGTGCAATTACACACGTTGAAGCCTACGGGTGCAGATCATCAATGCGCAGAGCTGAAGACCCAAAAACGCTGTGCCAGTGTGCCTAACAAGTCCAGACTTGTTTTTCGTTTGCTTCAAATTGTAAAGGAGCCGAAACGCGACAAAGGCAAGTTCTAACATGTTGAAACTTGCACTTTGTCCCGTTTTGCAAACTGCTACATGTACGACGCGTGGGCTTTTTATTTGTTAGTTGATGAATGGAAACCTTTGTGCAGCCATTGCGACCCAAAAAAAAAACACAATACACGCTTTTGGATGGAAATGGGCTGAGGATGGTGAAGAGAAAAATAACTTGATTATTGATAATCATATCGTCGAGTCATTTTCACCTTATTGTGTGAATCTGCACACTACGCGCGGCAACTGACGATATCTGTAAATTCTCAGTAGAACTTTTCCTAAACTAACAAACTGTCGAATTGTGTAATACTAACTAGTAGATATTTAATCAAAGCAAAAGACAGAGGAAAACAAGAAAATCTCTGGAATTAACAGGTTCTAATACTACAAGTCGTTGGGTAGCGCGCATGGTGCGCAGTGCACATATTAATTCACAAATGACGCAAGGATGAACGGCTAATGAGCAAAGTGTGTAACCGCACATATTTTCGTCCTAAAGAGCAGCTATAGTCAGTAACGAATAGAAACTGTCACTCTCTGAACGACACAGAAAAACCAGGAAATCTCGAAAACACGGATATGTTAGCCAGGTGCGCGCTGTGAACGGATCTTTCATGCGCGCGCGTGTCAACCAGCTGGAGAAACGAAAAGCGAGACACGGGAAAACGCGGCGAAGACGACGTGATTAGCGCGCGCGTTGGCGAAGGCGATAGGGCTGCGCGCCTCTGTAGAAAAGGCGGCGGCGTTAGCGGACCAGTTCTGGCAGCTGAAAGCCAGCGAGCCAGCTGCGCTGGCTGGCCAAGGCTGCCCGCATCGACGACTTGATCTTAACATCTCACAATGTGCACTGATGTGTGTGTGGAAAGAAACAGCGAAAGAAAACGTGTATAGAGAATGTGGGGATGAGATTGATGTAAGTGATAAAGATGGGAATTGACAGCTGGTAACAGGAGGAGCAATCAAAAGTTTTAGTCTTCTGGTCCTAATGAGCCGGAAATCCTTGGAAATGAAGGGGGAGATTTGAAACAGAATTAAATGCCAAAAAGTGTGAAAATATCTGTGTCAACTGCGAATGCTTTTCTATCGCATCTACGCATCCGCGTCGCAAAGCGCTTGCATGCTATCATGGCTCCAGGCTCCGCGATGCGCCTCGCGCACGTTCACGATTATGAAAATGGATTAACCATTGACTTAGACTGTACTTTTTGGCGATTTGTATTGAATGACTAGTCACTAAAAATGGCAATAAAATTCAAAGCGCCATACTGAAAAGGATAATGTGTTAAGGTTCGCGTTCGCGTTGGTGTAAATCCCAACTTTTTTTGCACATAAAAAAATCATTAAGGAGAAGATGACATTAGAAAAGTTCATCTTCCTTTCTGAACAAGCATCTGGTGTTTTTTTTGTACTTTTTGATTTACTTAACAGGCTTCGGCAGATGGCTGATCGCTTTTTTGATTTGATTTATTTGCATTATCTTTTTTCACACCTGCAATTTATGAGTCTTTACAGAATTTTAGAAAAAATTCGATTGAAAAAATACTTATGGTGCGGAAATAAAAATCACGCAAATTACAAAAAAAATCTTTGGTTTGAGCACGGCTACAACTCGAAATGAGACATTGTGCATACCTTCGCATAAAGTTTGAACTCTCTTTATGATACAAATTTTTCGGACCCGATCAGCGCCTTACAAGTAATTTTATCTCACATTTGACTATGCAAAGATTTAGTTCTGATACAAAATTAACTCCATATCAGTTATGAGCAAAAACACCAATACACGGTTCCAGCTGAGGAGGCAG